GAGAGAGAGAGAGAGAGAGAGAGAAACAAACAAACAAACAAAATTTGATGAGTTTTTAAAGGCCAGGTGTGGGCTAGCTTGACAGAAACCTGGGAACCCCCGGGGGAGTCGACACTACTTGCCAGCTCCTCTCCTGGGGCCTCCCCAGGTGCTCCGGGGAAAGACTGTGCGCAGGATGCCTTGGGGGTGCAGGCAGGTGCAGGCATGCAAGGAAAATGCACCGCACTGCAAGTAAGCAAACCAAAACGAGGAAGCTAGAACTCCAGGAAACGGGTGCAGCACAGGACACAGGTGAAGAGAATAAGCCCCAGGATGATGGTGAAGGCAGACCTAAGGAAGTCCGCTGGGCACCAGGCTGAGCTTGTAAGAGGACTCTAGGAGTTTTCAGGAAATTTTATCATATTCCTGATGATCTGACTTTGTACAGGAAAGACTGAGCCAACCAGCAAAGAATCTGGGGCTCAATTAGAGGTAAGAGATAAGGTGAGAACAATTTTAAAATGACATAATTCTAGGATAAACTTGCAGGCAGGAAAACATACAGTGTACTGTATAGATCAATCACCTGAAAGCAGTATTTTCATAATCACAATTTTGTAAATGCTGACCTCCTGTTTAATGAAAAGTATTAACGATGGCCATGGGTTTTATGATATAACTAGATTATTTCAAGACATAGGAACAGATACCAAAAGTAGCAGCTGAAGAGGGGAAGGAGGTTGTGCTCTAAAGTGGGGGGCAGGCTCGGAAAGACTACTGCTTATCTCTAAAACTGCAGGTGACTGGCTCGTTCAAATAAACAAAAGTTTAACTTTGGTGACTTTAAAATGCTTTCCAGTGAAAACTCTCATGGGATGATCACCAATCTGTGGGCTGTTAAAGTATTTACTATGTACTGTTTTAAACTTATAGGAAACTAATCTGTTCACAACATCAGCCAGACAAAAATCCTTTACCAGTAACAAATGAACAGGTAGCTACAGTTGAAAAAGGAGACAGTTTCTGAGACAAATTTTGAATCAATCTATTTTGGACTTTGATAGCTCAAAAATGGATTTAAGAGAACAGAAGTATATTTTCACACATTTCAGTGAACACACGGAATGGAAGGGAGGCCTTGCTAGCTCATCTACTCTGTTCTGTGACAAAGTAGCAGGAAGCACAGCTCAAAATGTAAAAAAAATATTTAAAATCTGACTCATTCCATTGAATCAATGGCAAAAATACCCTCAATAGGCTGACTTAGGAACCAAAAATTTAACAAGTATCATTAGCAAATCCTGCTCCTAAGTTATCAAGGGAATATTTTTAAAAAGTGATGGTTTCTATGACAGAATTCTAACTCAAGACTCAGTTCACCTGGTCAGTACGAGTAAATAATTTTCCTTTCAACGTGATGGCAGCTGACCCCTCTTTTCTATCAGAGCGCACCTACCACTTTAGGGTGCACATGTGGCCTGTGAGATCCTGCGTGGGCCGTTCCTAATTACCCCAGGGCGCAGGTTCCACCCTGCTCTGGGTCGGGAAGGCTGGGCAAGGCACGGTCTCGGTGCAGTGACCTGTCACTTCCGAGACCGCCCTCTAGACGCGGGTCCCCAGGTTTCCGGGCGCTATGGGGACGGGGGGGGAGGGGGTAACCAAATTCCGCCTGGACGGAAGACACGATCTCGAGGGGCTGGTTTTCGACCCAGGCGGCCTCCCTCCCCGAAAACCGCGCAGGCTGGGCCGGGGCAGGAGGCAGGTACCGTTTTCCGC